GGATCGGAGCGGCGTGATCCCGCGGCGGTGGGGTCGGAGCGGCGTGATCCCGCGGCGGTGGGATCGGAGCGGCGTGATCCCGCGGCGGTGGGGTCGGAGCGGCGTGATCCCGCGGCGGTGGGATCGGAGCGGCGTGATCCCGCAGCGGTGGGATCGGAGCGGCGTGATCCCGCGGCGGTGGGATCGGAGCGGCGTGATCCCGCGGCGGTAGGATCGGAGCGGCGTGATCCTGCAGCCGCGCTGTCGCCGACCCTGAGACAACCGGCGTGACCGGCTGGCGGCGGCGGCCGGCGCGGCTCGGCACCACTCGGCCAGCCTGCCTGTGCCCCGGCCGGGAGCGGCCCGAGCGGACTCCTCACGTTCCCATTGGCGGCGCCGCTGCCAACGATCGGCTGTTACCAGCACCGCCCGCCACCAACAGCGCCGCCGCCGAGACGTAGGACATGTTGAGCGGGGTTTACTCTTTGTTGCAGTATGTACATTGCATCTTAGTGAAATAAAGCCCGCAAACATCCCACTCCGCCATAGAGGCTACTGTGAAGTAGACGTCGCGTGCAAATGTGTTAGGAAGACACCGCCGACCCGCCAAAGCAATTCATTACCGACGTTGTCTAATCCCGGGCCTTAAGTGGTCATGTTAGGCAAGCTTTGTTTCGTTTCTAATCCCCATAACAATGCTATCGCGGTTATCTTGTCAGTTCCTGGCAAGGAGACAAACATACGTAGACTGCCTGTAGGTTATCTCCTTGTGCAAGAATCAGGTCTTGCGAAGGAATGCGTTAAAGATCCGGCTAAATCGCCCGACAAGTTTTAGTTCAATCCGCCCACTGATCTACGTTTTGAAAATTTTCTGAACAGTGCAATGCATCGAATCGTCTCAATTTGTTGGAGGAAAAACGTTATGTTGCATAATTTGTAGAAATCTGTCGCATTTTATCTCCGCTGGACATACCACTTTAAATGTGACATTACTTACGGCAAAACGACATGCGCGTATGCAATGTATGCAATGCATTAACGGTATGCTACACAGCCACAGTATTGTTTAAGACTGCAGTCAAGCCCGGTCGGCTACATCTTTTAATAAGGAATCCACTGATTTAATCCAGCGAAGAGGAGGCGCAGCGGACATTTTTTCTTGTGTTTGCGCGGTAAGAACTAATACATATGTGGCTAACTGGAAACGATGACGCTGTGTCTGTCATGGACCCATAACGAGGTGCCTACATCCCGAAACAAGGAGCTGCCCAACTCAAGGTACTGAAATATAAAGGCGTTCTAGAAGCAAAATTCGGCACTTAAGTTTCATGGATTGCCAAATGACTGTGACGATTCGTGAGTAATTTCGTTTTGTATCCCATTATCACTGGCTACAAAGTTCAGGTAATAATTTTCAAGGTGATATTAGGCAGTGCAAAAAATTGGGAGTTACGATATCCGCGTCACCCAACTCCTTTGACTGATCAGCATGGACAGAGGCAGATCTTAGAGGCATCGATGTATCAAAATTATTAACTGTCCAAGCATGTTTTACAGAATGATTTAGAAGAGGTTTGGTGCCACATATCGAATGTTCGTTTTGCTATACATTATTATAATTTACTCTATATCATATATTTTGCTATATATTTGTTTTGATCGGCAACACCTACATGAAATCATCAGAAGGTGTGTGCAAATCGAAAGAGGGTCATCGGCTTGAAATGGCATAGGCCCACTGGCAAACTGGACAAGCTAAGGCCAACCGGGGGGAGTTGCATGCAACCGAACCCGACGGTTCTCTTTCGTGAAAGTCACGCGTTGAGCAGCCAAAATCGACGCTTTATTTCCTTGCGTCGTGGAGGTTATCGTTAAACCATACCCATCCCCTTATCTAGACGGGTTTGGGTTAATGCGATGCACGAGTCCCTCTTTGCCGACTGCACATTCTACGCACAGCCGCCTCCGATTTAAGGATATTAGATATATATGGCTTTGACTGTCGTCCTCGATTCACATGTTAGTGTGTACAGAACATTGCGACCATTTGATTCCCTGGTCGTCACCAGGTGTTATTAAATGCTGAGAACAACTGGATTGTGTTCGGTTTTCAGTCATGTGCACGTCATAAGCCAATTTGTTTTCCTTGAAATTGCTGGGATTCGAAACGGGGTCTTCTGATTACGAGTCGGAACGTTCTCCCACTGAGTAAGGGAGAGTTCCGAGTCAGCTCAGAGATAGAACGTCATCTGGACTCACATGATATGATTCAACACCTTAAACGTCTCATGATAGGCGGATTATTAACATACCAAAGTATTGTGTGCGTTCTAACACCCATGCGAAGGCAAGAACTCGATCGATTTTTACATCCCCGTGCACGAAAGCGGCTAGCTTTCAATCATCGCACAACGCTTCAAAGTACGCCATGTTATGCCCACCCGTTTCCTGCTGATTATGGGCTGTGGTCTGCCGTGTTGAATGACCTGGTTGTGCCTATGGCAGCGGGCAGGCTCCCAGTAGCTGGCGTTGCCCGTGACGTCAGCTGGTCCACCCAAGAATGTGAGGCCAGCAGGCCTGCCTGGATTGGTCTGGGCCGACAGCTTTATTGCCGGCTCGTAAACTGGTAAGGGATATAAGGACCACCGACACACACACGTGAGTGTTTCAGGAGCGGTCCCACATTCAGCCAGTCGATCCAGGCCAAAGTAATATACAGTTGCTGGCAGATAAGACACGAGTCACACGGACGCGTGCCCGGGGCTAATCACGCGTAAACATGTCGTCCAAGGACTTGTCTCCCCACGGCTCTACATTGACGAGCGGAAATCGGAGACAACTCACATGTTACACGCACATCAGTGAATGAGAGATGACCCACGAACATGGGCCAACATGTCCTTGGGTTTAGGTCGCCATGCACGCGAACGGTTGGATCACAGACAAATTGCACGAACAGGTGAGTCAGAGCCGGCAAGCACACGTCGTGCCGGTGAGTCAGCGAGTCAGCTCAGCCGACGAGTCACGGCGCACCTACCGGGGCCATCCGGCACGGTGCGGAGCGAGCAAGCAGCGCCGCCGCGACAACAGTGCCGCAGCCAGGCGTCGATGTCGTGTCGCGTGTAGCCGCACACGTTCTGTCCCTGCACCTCCAGGATGAGCTGTCCGGGCTGCAGCCGGCCGCTGCGGCAGCGCAGCTGTTCGGGCCGGCCGGCGCCGACTCGACCCAGCTGGCCCACATCCGACCCGCCGTCCAGCGGCGGCGGCGCGCTCACCACCGCCTCGCACACGTGCTCGCTCCAGTGGGGCCGGCCGCCACCCGGCAGCATGGGGCCGCCGCCGCCGCCGCCGCCGCCTCCGCCGCTCGCGCTCCCGCCGCCCTGGCCGCCGGCGCTCTCACTGGACACCGGACGGCCGGCGCCTGGCTCGGGACACGCGAGCCGCCGCCGCTGCTCGCTCGCCGCGCGACGCCCACTGTAAACAAGGCCGCCGAGAGCTATCGCCAGTGCGCATGCGCGCTGCACAGGTGTGGTACGCAGGTAAGGAGGTCGATAGCCGACAGACGGAGACGCTGGTCCGGGTTAGCCTGGTCCGCCGACGACCGTAGAGGCATCTGGCGGGCAGATTTGAAATGTCCGATTTCTTCGGCGGACAAAGTGACCACTGCGCTGGAGAGCCGACGAGTTTGTTGCGATTAGTCGCCGCCACAAGCGTGGTAGGAGGCAGCTGCGGCACCGGTCAATCTTGGGGAAGTGATCCACATGTAATAACGTGTCACCGCTCAAATCGGCCAGGCCAGCAGTGTTACCAGTCGATGGGTGGTGGTTCATGACCTCCGCTGAGGAGTGACCTGCTTTTATAGCTCGTGTGAGCGGGCTACAAACAACAGAGCCACAAATGTATGGAGGGTATGAGGAGCGTCGGACGGTGATAACAGCGATCTACGGCGACCCACCCCTTCTGAATATCCATAGAGACGTGATTCCGGCTATCCAACGCTTGGCTTATGCGAGAATGTCACAAACGGCGGATGTGTGCAAGAGGCCTCTGCCATACCGGTAGGTGTGCCGTGAATCAAAAAGTCGGATCACTGTCAGACGCCCACATACCCTCCACACATCACCACCGTCCGACGCCCTCATATCCTCCACACATCACCACCGCCCGACGCTCTCATACCCTCCACACATCACCACCGTCCGACGCTCTCCCACCCTCCACACGTCATCACCGCTCGACGCTCTCCCACCCTCCACACGTCATCATCGTCCGACGCTCTCATACCCTCCACACGTCATCACCGTTCGACGCTCTCATACCCTCCACACGTCGTCACCGTTCGACGCTCTCATACCCTCCACACGCCATCACCGTTCGACGCTCTCACACCCTCCACACGTCATCACCGTCCGACGCTCTCATACCCTCCTCACGTCACCACCGTCCGACGCCCTCGTACCCTCCACAAATCACCAGCATCCGACGCACTCATAACCTCCACCCGTCCGACGCCCTCGTACCCACACGTCACCACCGTCCGACGCTCTCATACCCTCCACACGTCACCAGCGTCCGACGCTCTCATACCCTCCTCACGTCACCACCGTCCGACGCACTCATACCCACACGTCACCAGCGTTCGACGCTCTCACACCCTCCACACGTCACCAGCGTCCGACGCTCTCATGCCCTCCTCACGTCACCACCGTCTGACGCTCTCGCTCTCTCCACACGTCATCACCGCTCGACGCTCTGATACCCTCCACACGTCACCACCGTCTGACGCCCTCGTACCCACACGTCACCACCATCCGGCGCACTCACACCCACACGTCATCACCGCTCGACGCTCTCGTACTCTCCGGTACGGGGTTCGGTTCCCCGCGGCGCCGTTCGTTCCTGCCAGGGTGAGGGGCAGGCGACGCCATATGACCTCAGTAGCTGAGGACGTCGTAAAGCCCCCAGCCAAGCTGCCTACCCTCATAGATCATCCTTCGGTGATCTATATCCATCGGCTCGAGTCAGCAGTCCAGGTGTATTTTCTGCGATCAGATCACAACACCACCCAAGGACGGGCCAGTCCCAGCCAGGAGAGCCCTGTTTAAACAGTTGTGCAAAGCAGGACAGCTATGGAATGCTGCACGTAATCACAAGTGCAACACCGCTCGCGCTGTCCAACAATAGGAGCAGCCTTCGCAACACGAAATGTTCGAAAGTCTAGACTACGTAGACGTCGGACACAGCTGTTATTGTGGCATATGGCCACCCCATGGCCTAAAGGTAACCGGCAAGGCCACGCGACAGCCTATAGGTAACCGGCAAGGCCAAGCGATAGCCTATAGGTAACCGGCAAGGCCACGCGATAGCCTATAGGTAACCGGCCAGGTCATGCCATGGCCCGTCAGAGTGCTGACTAGTTGCTTCATCAACAGGCTGCATCTGAGCAAGGCCGGCCACGTGGGGACGACGTGCGGATACTTTCAAGACGATGCCTCAGTTCCATTGCAGGCAAAGTTAATCTGTAGGTGTTAGACTAATCGTTCATAAATTTATTATCATATGATAAATACGTCTTCTAACACGACTGAAGCCGTAAGACCCTCGCAACGGCATTCAAATCGTATACATTTTGAGTTTGAAGTGGGAGCAAGACGTCGCTTGTCCCTACCACGTAGCGTGCCCGTGGGTAAAAAGAGACAAAACCAACACGAGGACAGAAAGAACTCCAGGTGAGTCACCCAGACTGTTAACACGTAATCCCCACATAAGACGTATTCGTCGTGTTCACGAACGACTATCACAAAGCAGCTTGTGCTGCAACCAGAAGCAAAAGAAGGAACCACTCTGGCCGGCACAGGGTCAGCCAGTCCGCCTCACACTTCACCGCAATCAACCAGTGTGTCGGTCTGTGATCGCGTTCACCACAAAACATATTGGTGCCACCGCAGCTGTCCTCCGCCACATGGAAGGGCCAGACGCTCGCTGCGCCACCTATTGACTGGGGTCCAAGCAATGCTTGAATAAGGGCTACACAGATGTCCGTTGGCGAGTAGGTCGTCACGCTGGCAGGGGAGCGGCGAAGTTCCCGGTCAACACGGGGATGGGGCGCCACGCACACCACCTGCGCCGCTGTCCTGTACTGCCTGCTGGCCGCGCGCCACCAAGTGCTGCCTGCCGTCACGTTCGGAGCGTGGGCCGCAACCCCGGCCACTGGCATCACCGGTCGCCCATTTTCTGTATGAGCTCGTCACAGATGGCAGTCACCTCCTGGTTTTCGCGCTCCAGCTTGGTGGCCCGGTTTTCGGCCAGCTGTAGCCGTGCCGACATGCGCAGCGCCTCGGTCTCCTGGCTCTTCTGCTCCAGCACCATGTCCGATTGTAACCTAGCGACCGAACAAACGAGCATGGGGTGAATGGACGGCATAGCCGCACGGCAGGGCCGTGCAAGGTCGACTGAGATGAGTTGGCTATCGATTTTGCTCGGCACTACAACTCCACAGCTTGTTTAATTAGGCAACTGTGCGCACAGCCGAGCGAGCAACGGGCACGGCAACACACAATCATCCCGCAGAACTATGGAAGCTTCAGCCCGCCCCGACTGCCGCGGCGCTGAGCTGCAGTTGACCGCAATCCCCACCCTTCATGCCCCGGCGAAGTCCCTATCGTCAATCCGCACCGGTGCATGGTGTCCTCGGCGTATTGCTGCAGCATGTCGTACCGCTGCTGTTCACGCGACACCTGCGCCAGTGCCTGGTCCAGCTCCACGGCCACCAGCTCGCTGGTCTGCTTGTTCTCGGCCACCAGGGCCTTGCTCTTCTCGTACTTCCTGCCGGGCGGAGCAGCGCGGCGTCAGGGAGACGTGTGTTGGGAACGCGTCATAGTGGACGCCAGCACGCCAAGACACTTCTGGTGCAGCGGGCGATCAAGGATCGGCGGAGGCTCGGTCGCGCCGCAAAAGAAGAAGACAGACTGGGTGACAAATCGGACAAGACAGGAGCTATCAACGCAGACATACAAAAGGCCAAGCAGTTGACTTCCTGAAGAGACTTGAGGCAGTGTGGCTGGTTTCGAAAATGGTACACGTGCCCAAGGACCATCACGGCACGGCAGCGCACAACTAAAGCAAAACTTGTCGAATATTGCAAATGACAGAATGGGCTGGCCAGCCCAACGCCTATTTCTCAAACAGATTACTTCACCATCATGCAATCGCTGACGCCTGCATGGCCAAGCAGGAATGCACGAATCATAAATATGAAACTCAATACAAACACCCGGTGGAGGGGCCTCGCTTCTCGTCGTGCCCACCAGCCAGCGTTAGGTGGCGGATGGCCGGCCAGGGTGAAGGCGCAGGCGATTAGACGGCACAGACCGACAACACCCCTGTCGCCTGTCAGCTGCTCTCCCCACCGTGCGGCGGCCTCATCCCTCTGTCTCGCTCCGACCTTTCTCCCTGCATGAGCCGCCGACAACAGGCTCCTCATTCAGTTGCCACCTCCCCTTCCCTAGTCATCTTACATACTTAAATGATCCGAGGCCTCTCCCAAAATTTGTACGTTACATGGGACCTGTACTAGTGCCTCTGAAAACAGCCAACGCCTTGACGTCCCAAGTCCCAGAACCCTGTTGCAGCTCCCCTGCCGTTCTGATGTAATTTGCCCTCAGTGCGAGGCCAACACTGACCGGTGCAGGTCGGCGAACATGGCCTCGATGTTGGCCACTTCCTCGCGTGCTTCGTCACGCTCGGAGGTCAGTCGGCGGACGTCGGGCGCCTGCTGCGGCTCGCCGCCGCGGCTGGACGCCAGCCGCGCCAGAGACAGCATGTGCAGGTCCACCACCTGCGAACAAGCCCGGAGCACCGAGTCATCGACAGGTACGGGGTTATCGAGACTATCCCGTCGAGGTTAACGACTGGCCATCGGCCGCGACAGACACAGACTCACCGATCCGAGGTCGACACAGGCACGGACAGTAGTTGGTCACTGACCGAGACCGAACGCGGCGCTACCGACAGAGTCAGACACCGTGTCAGCGACGAGGTCAGACACCGTGTCAGCGACAGGGGCAGATGCCGTGTTACCGACAGGGTCGGACCCCGCGGGTTCGCCGGCGGTCTCCGTCGTACGTTATCGGATGGTCGGTGTACGGCTCGTGAGTCACTTGTCGCCATCTTAATTCGGACGCGTCGAATAAAACGACGGGTCGGGTGTAAGCCTCGTCTGAGATACGGCACAACTGATGCATCGATACGCACAGCCGTTCGCACGCGAATAAGCTGTGAGTGAATAACCTCGTGAGCAATACACTCGCACGCACGCTTACCTTAGACATCCTTTGCTGTGCGGTTTTCGAAGCAGCCAGCTGCTGCTTCAGCTTTGAGACTGCGTCTTGCAGCGTTTCAATGTCACGATCTCGCTTCCGGATCTGAGAACAAACCCAGGGCTTGACACTGGGGGGCAGCGGCGGCATACCAGCCGGAGCCGTGGCCTCGAGCTCGCACGGCCGCATACATACTTGAGCATAAGCCGGCCGGTAATAGCGCCACGTACTCTGGAGCTGTAGCTGGAGTTCTCCCACGGTGCAAACAGACCGGAACATTCCAATTTTTTTTAAAACTTTGAAAATGAGTTGTGATACCATTGAATGATCGTTATCATCAAGCAACGTCACCGCATACAACCGAGACAATACATTTCAGCTCATTCTTCTACAAGGCTGCATTTTTGTCCCTCCCCCTCGCCATTCCACAGACAGCCGGAGGCCGCGCCGAGCACTCACCTCTTCCCTGAGCGCCGCTTCCCGCGGAGACCCGCCCTGCTCGTCAGCCGGCGGCAGTTGCCTGGAGGCGACAGGAGCCGGCGCCGGAGCCGGCGCTGGTGTCTGCGCCGGCTCCTGCGCCAGCTCCGGCGACGGAGCCGGAGCCGGAGCCGGCTGGGCCACGTCCGGCGGCGGGCCGGCCGGCTGCGCGGCCGTCACCTGCTTCCGCTTTAGCGACTCCGGCGGTGCGGTGAACGCCATCGGCTGCTGCTTGGCCGCCGGCAGGGGCTTGTCCTTCACCGGCGCGTCATCGTCCTGCTGTGAGCTGTAGAGGGAGGGACGGCGGGGTAAGCGGTACGCCGGGGTCGCGCTCGAACTTCCAGTCTGGTCTTGCTGTAGGTTGCCAAGTACGAATAAATATAACACAAGCACTGTGTTCTACATATGCAAGGAAAAAGGATAAATCGTGCACTTGAGGTCTAGATCCGCTGCTGTACAATAAACGGGGAGGTTTTAATGCTCAAAACTACATCAAATCCCGATAATCTAAGAGCGTGTGTTTGAAACTGATGCCAATCGCTGCACCTAGAGCTATTCATTCCATCTTAATTTGATTGAATATCATTGTCTTCTATTACGAGTCGGCAACCGCCCGAAAATCCCGGATCAAAAATGACACATACTGCACGTAAATATCCCATTGCCATTCACATAAATATGTCGACCGCCTTCGTTCTTTTTTTTTTGCCTTCCCTTGTACTGGGAAGGCCATGTGCATCCAGAGGGATCTACAGTCTAGCACCTGTACCATAAAAGGTACAGGGGCTGCACAGATGCTACGGATGTGCTAACCTGATGTGAGGTTATGACCTTTCATTCATTTTAGCTGAGGGACTACCCAAAGCCAAACCCATACACCATGGACCAAACCCATACAATAACGCAGTAGCTCTTTCCGCTGGTTTGGTGGCTGGAGCGGTCTCTTTTCAACGGTTGAATAGCACATTGTGTGGGCGTAGGCCAACACCCAAACTGTTCATGACCAAAGGCATTCGAGACCACCGCATAGCGCCTAGTCCGTTAACATTCCCAGGCAAGGAAGACAACCTCCTTCACGGTGGCCAGTAATGCGCCCTTTACGGCATATTAATGCCCGCTCTGGCTCAGCGCCTGCGGGAGAATGGTGCCGGGTCTGGGACAGACAGGTAGGGTGGCGGCCAGTCAGCCAGCGGCCACCTGAGCATGTGAGCGAGCTCAGATCCCAGTGTTCTCCACTTCCAAGCACCGCAAATGCAACATATACAGGTATTGACTGAGCCCGCCGAAAAACCAACTAACCGATAGTATTTCATTGATTAATATTATAATTACACACACACACATATATATATATATATATATATATATATATATATATATATATACATATATACTGCGCATTAGTCAGGAGCGCTACGCCAAGAGGCGCACCATGGAAGTGGTGATGTTTCCGGCGTTCATGACTTGTATGAGTTGCTTAAGGGGTGTACGAACACGGTAGCCCCAAGGAGAATTCATTCGAAACTCTTATTAAATTTCTCACCCACTTGCACAACAATTTTCGTGAATACATCTCAATGATACAAAAATTCGAGATAGACAAGCAGGCGCGGATCCAGGATTTTGCCAAGGGGGGGGGGGCACGCAACATTGTGGGATCGCCTGAGTTTGGGTCCCCCAAAACATCCTTGCATTCCGGTCAGTGCATTTTAAGACAAAATTTTGTAGAGCGCACACACACACACACACACACACACACACACACACACACACACACACACACACACACACGCCACACACACACACACACACACACACACACACACACACACACATACACACACACACACACACACACACACATATATATATATATATATATATATATATATATATATATATATATATATATATACACACGGAAACCCATCCTACAGTGTGCAGCCCTGTAAAGCTAGGCGTGCCACGTATGCATATGCATGGAGCTCATTCATTCTCTACATATCACGTTTAGTCTTGTAATTTTGAGGCGAAGTGTTTCGAAACAACAGACAAAATTAGCTCGAATCGGCTACTAGCGATCATCTGAACCAAGCACGTACTTGATTCCTAGCTTTTTACAGCTAGCCGGCTGAGCCATATAATCAGCTGATGGCTGATGACTAATGCACAATTTTTCCTTCTTTCCTTTAGGAAGTTCAAAATATCCTAGCACTATAAATACGTTAAAAACGTGATGCACTAGCGTAATAAGCGTCACGCACTCAATAGCCAATGGAAATGACACATACGATTTCGGCGGCACGTAAAATCACGTTCGACAACTGCGCGTAAAAATTCATCGGCGCATATCCGACTGCTGCTCTAAGGCGAAGGTACCAAGGCCAATAGGACGGAGCTTCAGCAATCATGGGCGCCGCAGGAGACCAACAACCTGGCCCCCGTCAACAAGTATAGGGTCCTCAGAGCAAGCAAAAAGAGCCCAGGACTAACGTGGTAGGCCCCTAAACGACCAGTAGTGCTCCGTCAGGCTAACATATGGGACTCCGACAAGAGCACAGGGCACTCTGAGAAAAAGAAAATTGCCGAAGACCAATGTAGCTCATTAATGCTCCTGAGCGATCAAGAGTTTCCGGGCAGGCAACAAAAAGAACCTCGATACGAGTGAAGAGTCCTCAGCGAATGAGATCAAAGGGAAAGAGCCCTCGATGAAAGCAGAGCCCCTGAGCATCGAGTGTCTCGGTGTGTTACCTCATAAGCGCCCCAGCAACAGCACAAGACCCTCCAAGCAATTCGAAAGAACCTGAGACTAATATGAAGGGCCCCTGAACAACTGAGTGTACCCTGGCATATGGGACCCCTGCAAAGCCTATCGAGCCTTTCGGGTGAGTGGGAAGTATCCGTGGAGGAAGACCTGCATTGACCAAGAGTGCCCGGGCATGACAACAGGCAGCGTCCCAACGACAGCGTTAGGCCCTACGACAAAATGCAAAGAGATCAGGGGAAACGTGGAGAAAGCTCCTTAGCGCTCAGATTGACCCGGCAAATGGATATATGGGGTCAGGTTAATCAAAAGCGCAATGCCTCTCGACAGCGTAACGAGTCCCACAATTTTCCCCAAGCAACACCTTCTCAACCAGCCAAGACTTAACTTCATTTGCTTATGAACTCTTTCCTTTCACTAGCAATTGTTCTTAATCGTCTGTAGGCCCAAAGACGTCCAATTTTGTTGTTTTTGTCGTTAGAAAACTGCGTTCGTTCGGTCAGTTATGGCCCATTCGGAACCTTTAGGTCCCCTCGGCATGGTCTATGGAGACATGGTTCCATGCCTCCAGCTACCCTCTGCGTCCGTCACCGGCCCGAGCAGCTTAATGGATGGGTTCCGCCACGAACACCGGGCCATCCTTTCGAATAAGAAATGCTCACGATACAACGTGTATGTCTCCGAACGATCGAGTGTGTCCGGGCGGGTTGACGTATAGGGTCCACGTCAAGACCGTGGGGCCCTCCTTTCCAATGGGAAGTACCCAAGACCCATTATGGCCCCCGAATGATTCGGTGTGCCCGAGCTGATTGACGTATAGGGTCCCCGTCAAGAACGTAGGGCTCATATTATCAGCTGGCCCCGACAGGAGAGCGGGGATCTAAGATCCAATATACAGGGCCTGCGAACACTCCAGCATGGCCGAGGAGGCGAACAGATGATTCCCGACAAGTGCGTAAGGCCCTCCATTGAGATAGGAAGTATCCAGGATACAGTGTGGAGGGCCCTCGACTAATCGAGTGTGCACGAGTAAGTTAAAAGTTGGGGCCCTCGACAAGAGCGTAGCCCCCCCCCCCCCCTTCAGATAAGAATTACCAAAGACCCAGTGTGGAGGGTCCCCGAACGACCGAGTGCGCCCAAGCAGGCCATCAGATGGGTCCTCGACAAGAGAGAACGACCTTAAGCAAGTGGCAGAGGATCGAAAGCGCCCCAGACCAATTTTGAGGGCCCTGTGCATATAGCCAGTGTGTCAGTAGGCTAGCCGAGATGCGTGTCACGGTTCCCTGAGGAACCGAGAGTGCTCCGACAGAGTAAGATATGGGACCCCTGCTATAGCCCACAGAGCCTTTCTGGTGAATAGAAAGAATACATGGAAGAATCCGTGATTGACTAGAGTGTCCTGACATGCTAGCAGAAAGAGTCCAGGAACAGCGCAAGGCCCTCCAAGCAAATACAGAGAAATCAAGGGCAGCGTGGAACGCTCCTTAACGATCGGAATGACCCTGCAAACGGGCGTATAGGCCCCCCAGAAACAGCACAGGGCCCCTAGACAGTGCAATGAGGCTTAGAAGTCCCAATTAATAACTTTTTCGACTATTGATGAGTGATCTTACTTCTCGTGGAACTTTCACTTTCGCTTGCAGCTATTCTTGGTTGCCTCGAAACCCAGAGATGTTTCATTTTGTTCCGCTTTTTGATTGTTAAGAAACTGCACCTGTTCGGTCGGCCATGGCCCCCTAGGATCCAGTGAGCTCCTTCGGGACCCTAGGGGAGGCATGGCCCTGTGCTCCTCCCCCCCCTCTGGATCCGTCCCTGTAGACAAGCGGAATTGAACAAATTGGGGACCTAAGGTGCTATTTAAGCCATGGCAGGAATTTCACGTGCTTACGACGCGATAGCCTGGATATTCAGTGCCTTTTTAAGTTGTGTTCCCACTCACTGCTAATTCCGACAAACGCTCCCGGCTTGAAAAAAGAAGCTCGTTCTGTTCCAAGAACCCATTCCTTCAAAGCAAGAGAACACTTTCGGTGATATTTGAGGAAGAGAAGCCTCTCTTCTCGCCAAGAAAGCACCACGTGCTGTTGCAGTATCTGGAATGGTTTAACTTCTACCAAACATAGCAGCTTGCTGGCCAAACATTCCACAGCATAAATGCGAGGTCTCACATCGTACGCTCATACATCAAAGATGCTGTTCCTACTATAACGAATGGCCACGTATACCGCTGACGACGATGAGCTGGAACAAGCCGGAATACACAAGTTAAAACCGGTCATAACACATAATCCTGTTTTCGCCTGTCGGCAGAATATCACTTATAAGGCAGAGACTTCACGCTCATAAGCAAACGTTATTTCCCCAAGATCAGAAAAAACTCAAAATATTGCATCTGTTTTAGCAAGGCAGAACAGTAGACGATTATGGGACTCTGACGGCCGTGGGGGTCAAAGCCGAAAGGTTTGAGAAATTATTTGCAGTGACATGTCTCAACCATACCTAGTATCTTTTAGGTTTTTTAAGAC